CCAAAGTATTCAGACTGATATGTGATTCTAAAAAGGTAGAGTTTTCATTTATTTTTATGTTTTAAACCCAATAACTATAAATTAAAGCCACATGAACATATTGGTAGACATTAAAAACACTTAATATATAAATTACTGTGATGTTGCATATGCATAAACAATATCACTGTTACTCCATTATCCATTGAGTAAATTTTGTTGTTAAATCAGATGATAGTGAAGGTATAAACAAAAAATGAATTTAATATTCACTGTGGTTTCTCGCAGTAAAATGACAGGCAGCACTTTATAGACTAACAAATATTTGTTAGCACTAATATATTAGTGCTAATAAATATTTGTTAGTCTATGAAGTGCTGCCTGTCATTTTACTGCGTATTCTTATAGTTCAGACTAACGCGGCTACCCACTTTTTCATGATGTTACTGTGGTTTCTGTTAATGCATTACTTTCCAAGAATGAGCTTGCCTTCAATTCATTATTACTCTATTTTGCTAGCAGACGACGCACGTCTCGCGGGAAGTTTGATTTTCCTTTTTTAATACGACTGCCGGCCCGTACCACACGATGTACTTCGACAGTGTTTACTCCAAATGGATATTTTATGCACAGTACAAATGTATTAACTAAATTCAATAAAATATGTAAAGAAATCTATAATTTTTGAATACTCAATAATTTATTTGAAAAACGACATTTTATTCATAATTTCTTGGTGAATAATTGTAATAAATAAATGAACAGCGCCACAAATTTGAAGAAGAAGTACCAATAGAAAATTCACCGTAAGTTCTCTCTGTTTTTGTTCACACAGTTAATCAAACAGAAACATGTAAATATAATAAGAATATTAAATCATCGTTTGTCTATTATACCTAGGTTTTGTTAAAGATTCCCGATGGTTAATTATTAATTAAAGTTTGATTGAATGTGTGCTATCGATTGTACATTCGCTGTATGTTTACCGAATTGTTTACTGTGTAACATAGGGCCTAGCCCTGTCAAGAGGTTAGCCTAGCCCACAATAGTATAGGCCTATAAATGATTCCTGTAGAATTTATTGGTTCACTTAATGTTTTGGTTTAGTTTTATGAATTTTAAAATAAAACAAGAATAACTGGAATAACAATACTACAGTATATTTATTTATATATTTTTTATTTATAATGTATGTAATGTATGTTTTTATAATGTAATGTGTAACCACTTCTATTGCAAATTTTGCTTTATTAATTTGAGTAAAGCAATTGGAAAAGAGAGCATTGAATGTCTTGTTTGCTGTGATGAAATCAACAATGAAACAACTCATGAAGTATCACCCCTAGTGAAAAATGCATTGAAAACTGCTCTTTTAAAATGCAAGGAATGTGCCACTGAATTGGTATTAGAGTTATTTGTGGTTTTTTCTAAAATTACTAATAATTTTTGTGTTACCTAAAATTACTAATAATTTAAAATAGTCATTTTCACTTACTCATTTGTCCTTTCGGCAGTCTACTGACTTACTTTCTAATTGTCATAGGTCAACCATGATAAGGCCCAGGACCAGGATTTATCAATCTCAGCTCAGCAAATGTCTTAAGTCAAAAAAGTTAAGATGTCCCTAATAAATATCTTAAGCTGATTTATTACCCAATCTTAGCAAAATCTTGGCTTAAAAATCGCCTTAGATGGCGCCAACGTACAATCGACTTTCTAATTTTAAGCAAATTTTTAAGCTAAGCAATATGGATAAATTTGACTTAAGCAAAAAAAATGGCCTTAAGACGAGCTGATTTCTAGTTTGATAAATCTGCCCCCAGGCCTTTCTCAATGTTGACTGTAAAACCAGGTGCCTGGAAAACTAGAACCACTAACACATTCTCTAAAGCATTTGGTCTAGCCACACAACACAGCTAAATTTCAAATTTGCTGGTACCGCTTCTCTTGTCACCTCCAAATTTAATCCAAATATCCCCATAGTGAATTTCCAGCATGTTGTCATCACTCCTTAAACAAACAAAAAAAACAAAAACAAAAACAAAACTAAATAATAATAATAAAAAAAACAAATGCATTGGTACACTATGTATGAATAATTGACAGTAAATTAATTTTTGCTTACTGTATGATGTTGCTTTGATGTATTACCAAATTATAGATATGAATTATGAATCAATGAATGTCAACACACACGTCATATTGGTCCAGATATTCCAAAACAAGCTTTTGAATATTTTGCACCCAAACGGCCACTTTTTCCAGCGCCAATCCGCTTATCAAAATAAATGAGGTTTATTGTCAAATTAGTGCTAATCTATAGGGCAAGTATTGAATGACATTCTTGTTTAAATGACACTCTTGTTACAAACCTTCTAAAGCTTCGCTGTTGGTTCCAATTCATGCAGCAAGCATTCATGATAGCACTTTTTGGGGTCCATCCTCTCAACTTCATAAATACTTTACCTCTACATTAGTTGCCAATACAATATACAATAACTTCTCTGCAGCCTGACAATATTATCCAATATTTTTTTCAGGTGTCCATACCTTCATTACACATTGACCTTGAAAAAGATGTGCATGACATTGACTATAAAATATACAGTATCTGACAGAAGACACTGGAATCATCTTGTAATTAAGATTTACCAATTTAAAGTTTAATTCACTTTGTATTTCTTGACACACTTCATAATCATCAGTTTTGTTTTTCAGGTGACCATGACATGACGGATTTTGAGGCAGCAAATACAGAGGCATCTGAAGAACGAACATCTAGCATAGATAAACCTGTTGAAAGCAGAAATAGAACGGTTGCGTGATGACCTTTCATTGTCCATTCTTAAGCATGAACATAGTGAAGCACTTACAAATCAGGTGGTTGAGATTTGCAGAGAAATTGCCTTAAAAGAAGAAAAGTATCACCACAAAAAATAATAAACTGCATTTGGTGGAGCTTTCTACTTCAATTGCAAATGTTGGTATTGTAAATGTTAGTAGAATTAATAAATGAAATGAATTGAATTACTAAATAGGAAAATCAGGTAAATAAGGATCTCACATTTGCAAGTGGCCCACTGGCAAGCAAGATGGATGAAATATTTGACAGAGAACAAGATGCCACACAACAATATCACAGGAAAAGCTTTGTTGGCGACCACGTACATTGAGAGGTTGTAAAGTAAGTGCTGTACTTTTCCTATTAGAAAATATATTAAACTTTACTGCGATGAAACCTATATATAGTATAATAGAGCCTATATTTCCGTAAATTGGGTAGAATTTTTTCTTTTTTTTTTAGGTTTGACTAATAGATGGAATGAGCTCAGTATTACAAACAGTAGAGGAATGTCCCATTGGCGCGGCAAAAATAATAAACACAGCTTTCAAAGGATAGAAGCAGAAGCATGTGTTCCAGTATTTAAATCTTTTGCTAATGTCCATTTATCCATCAATCACACAAGACCTGTGGATGAAGATGAAATAAAAGAATATGGTAAGAAACAATTCAATTTAATTAGAGTAATAGATTTACAAAAATAATCAAGAGCTATATTAATGATGTTTAATATTTATTTTGGTTTTTGCAGAGTTGGCAATCAAAGAATTTTCTATCGCATTTCGAAAAGTGTGCACTGAACGTGATGCAGCCAAAATTGCACATATTGGAACACCATGTTGTTGAATTCATGAAGCAGTGAACGTTGGTCTTCGAATGCTTTCCAAGCAGGGTGGTGAACTTATCCATGCAGAATTCAATCGCCAGAATAGAACAGTTTATGGCATCAAGAACCCACTTGACCAACTGATGTCCATTATGAAATCCCACATATTTACTTCGCCAGAAATTCAACACGAAATAACGATGAAGGCAAAGAGGAGGAAATCTAAAGAATTAGTTAATGACATTCGATCAACAATATACAATTAATAATAACCAGAAATGAACATTTTTCTTGTGATATTTTTTTAAATGCTTATTTAAAGTCTTGTCTAGAAGTCATGTTTTCACATTTCCTCTCTTTAGAATGTAAATATAGATTGTCTTGTGTTTTGAAGTAAATAAATTAGATTCAACCTTACATGATATCCTAAGTTAAATAGTGAGTATAATAATAATAATAATAATAATAATAATAACAATAACAGTAATAATAATTCAGGACAAAGCTGATCATACTGATCTGATTTAAGTTTGCTTTTTTTGTGGGTGGGGAATTATTGAGGGGTGGTGGTTGTTGTTACGGTTTCTATTTCATGTAATTTGTAATATTGTTGGCATGGCATGTATTTTTGTTAACTGTATTGGGTTAACATTTTGCTGTTCTGCTTTATAAATATAACATAGGCCTATTAATTACTATTTTATTTCAAACTAAGCCAGGCAAGCAGTAGCAAGCTATAATTATAAGTATAGGCCTAGTACAGCAGTAGGCCCTATTGTTGTATTGTAGTGTAGGCCTATGCCCAGGCTAGGCCTTATGTATAATTTAGGGAAGAATGTCTTGAATTGCATTGAACTCGTGTATCAGGGAGGTATAAAATTGCTAATGCTTGTAGTAGTCTTTTATCTAACATACATACTTGAGTTTACTACTGTGTATGCGTAGCACTGAGCCTACTGTAGGCCTATATTGTGTACACAGTGAAACGCATGCCTCTACTGTTAAGATACACGTTTAAATCGAAACATCGGCATCAATAAAAAAAAAATTCAACTGGGAATCCTCGTTGATCTTGACAGTAATTGTGTTATTGGTAACTAAGAATCACTTGGGTATCAAACTATGTTGGGAATATTTTAATTCATCCCCAAGATTACTTATCAACAGTACCTTTATTAATTAAAAAAAAAAGAAGCAAAATATTCATATTTTGGAAGGAAAATTGAAATTTCACTTTCTTCGGCTTCAGACCATGCTGCCAATATATTTCAGCAATAAACAAGTGCCTGGACATGTCTTCTAATGAGTATTCATGTTTTCCTTCAAAATAGTTTACTATTATGTTGTAATTGGCTGTTTTCCATGACGTTTTAAATGCAGATTGCCAACTAATCACCCCACATGGATTACTTCCGTGTGTTTGCGTGTTAACTTACTCCACTTCACAACTATATAGGAATAACGGTGTGCTACTTAATTTATATCTTGGAAACTACAGTGTATTAATAACTACTGTTTTGTTATCTGCTATCTGGCATTCTTGATTTTAACCTGTCATTTTGAGAGAATGCATCTCTCCATATCAGAATTAAGTACATAAAAAAAAAAAAAACATTTTCTAAAGAATGCAAACATATATATGAGTGGTGGAGCGGTTTTGCACAGCGGTTGCAGTTCTGATTTTCCAACCTTGAGGTCGGCGGTTCAATCCCTCGCTGTGTATTTTAATTGTGGCAAGGCACTTTACGTACGATCGTCCCTTCCCACCCAGAAACAGGGGCAGGGGCTTAAGCCCCCCACTGGACAGGTCAAGCCCCCCCGCCGGACAGAGCTCGTTGGGTAGTCAGACCATAAAGCATATAAAAATAGGCCCACACCAAGCCAACACATGTCTGTCACAGTCTGAGACTGCCATTTTCGGCCATCCAGAAGTTGATATTCTTTAAAAAAATCTCATTTGGGAGGGGGAACCTCCTCTCAACCCCTTCCTCCAGCTCGAGCCTACGAGCTTAAGTCCCCCTTGTCAGACAACTTAGCCCCCCAGAAAATATATCCTAGAGCCCCCACTGCCCAGAAATACAAGTGGGTATTGGTAGGTTCAAACGCAAAAATACACTGGTTTACAGCTACAGAATTATGGAATTCTCCCAAGGGACCTGAGTATGTGTTCCATATGTGCTTGATCCAATGACTTGGGGGTACTAATGCTAAGCGTATAGAGGTCTTTACAATATGCGCTATATAAGTCAACCATTATTATATGTGTAACATAATGAAATAATTTTTCTTTTACTTCAGCCTATTATAGGACAACTGTTATTTTGAGAGAATGCATCTCTCCATGTCCGAATTGAGCAAATTAGAAAAGAATATTTTCTACAGAATACGTGCATATAATAATTATGTATATAATAAATGAAATCATTTTTCTATTTTTTCAGCCTGTTGTAGGACACAATATGTTAATGGACCTTCTACTTATGTATGACAAGTTCCACAACAAATTACCAAGTAAGTTTTGTAAAATTGAATAACATTGGTAAAGATCAAACTCATTTTTCTACAGATTGAATCCAAGCTCCACAACAACAGCTTTCATGCCTGAAATATGACATGTTTACTGCTTGCCTCTACCAGAAGTGCGGCTTCATGCTTACAAATGTGCTTACACAGAAAGCATTCAGTGTATTCATTACAATATCTCACCAAGTAAACAAGTAAAATTTAAGTAATACAACGATTTGCTTATGATTCTTGTTTCTGTGGAAGAGTTCGACATCTTGATATTCTTGGATTAATTTCAGTTGAAAAACGTTTTCAGCTTCTATCATCCATATCCTTTATTTGCTAAGTGTATCCATGGTGTCTATATGTTGGATATTACCAACTACATTACAATCAACCCACGACATTGTGATCATTTCAAATTTGTACATCCCTTTTCATCATACCTTGATGTGCCTGAAAGAACAACCAATGTAAGGTACTGTCAAATTTTATTTGTCAAAATCATTTGACATGCCCAAATATGGTAATCTCATCATAATCAATATAATACCATGCAGACTCCAAAAAGACTAAGAGAAGCCATAGTGATTCAATATTTTGTTCTTTTTTAAATTAAAAAAAATTTTTTTTTATTCATTTCTTTCATTTGTTACAGAAAAATAACAAAAACAAATACAGAGTACATCATAGAAAATTCAAAATGAAAACAAAAGTTACAGAACAAAAATACGATTATGGTGACAGGCAGATAAAAATTAAATTATGCAATATTAATTTCCTTTAATAATGAAGTAAAAGAACTCTATTTCTTAATACAATTTTTCTTTTTCTGTTATACCTTTCTCTATTAATATTTTTGATCTTAGAAACATTTAAAGTGCCTGAGAATCTGGTTTTTTATTTAACAACCTTTTTGCATAAATAAATTGTTTTACAAGTAACAAAATATGGGTGAAAGCTTCGCAATTTGGTTTACTTATTCCTAACAGTACAATTTGTTTATTTAATTTGGTAGGCGAAACAAACCTATCAATATATTGACTTATGTAAATCCATATCTCTTTTACACATGGATATTTATAAAAGAGATGTTCTATAGTTTCTACTGATTTTTTACAAAAAGTACATTGATCATTATCTCTAAGATGTATTTTGTGTAGTAATTTGTTTGTTCATAAAATTTGGTGAATTATCTTATATTAGAAAATTTGTAGGCTACATTCAGTTGTACACTTACTACCTATTGTAAACAAATCAAGTCAGTTGTCACACTCACCTAATGATTCTTGCCGTTTATTAATTACATGTTGATAGACTTCAGTGTTATTAATGAGATGATTATAACAAAATTTTGTAATTTTCTTAGCAGAGATTAAAAAGGATATACTTTCATTTACGATTTCAGACTTGTTTGTTCCTCTCAATAGTAGGATCTGATTATACCAGTCTTTGGAATGGCGTTTAGAATACTTAAATGTCTTATAAAATTTAACTGAGTAGGATTGAGATGGAATTTATCACAAAATTCTTCAAATGTTAAAAGTATATGTTTTTTACTGATATCACAAACTCTATATATATATTCAAAGTCCTCCAATCACTATAATTGACACATTTTTTATCCACTTTAATATGTGGATTGTACCAGATTATTTCATTTTGCTTGTTCGAAAAAAAGAACGGAATATTGAATAATCACTATGGCTTCTCTTAGTCTTTTTGGAGTCTGCATGATATTATATTTTCTGAATATAATCAGTGGACCACTTGGTTTTTGGAAAAAATCATAACAACAGCTTTTGTAAATGCTTTTTATAATCTGTACAGACCTTTAAACAGGCTTTTGAAATGCTCACTGAGATTCAAGTGCCTCGGAATAGGAAACTATTATAATATAAGTTAGCGTGATTATTATAATATTGTATTTCAATTAAATTGCCCATTACCCTAAATTTGTAGTAGGAGTTGTTGAGTTAATGAAGTTGGTTGGATTGATGTTGAGCTGAAATAATAAACAATGTTGTTATCTTTTTTAATTGCCTATCGATTACCTTGATGTACCTGAAAGGCCAACCAATGTAAAGTTCAGTCAAGACTATCAAATTGTATTTGACAAAATTATTTGACTATTATTATTATTATTATTATTATTATTATTATTATTATTACTACTATTATTATTTTTATTATTATTATTATTATTTTTATTATTATTATTATTTTTTTTTAAAGTTATTATTTTTATTATTATTATTATTTTTATTATTATTATTATTATTATTATTATTATTATTTTTATTATTATTATTATTATTATTTTTATTATTATTATTATTATTATTATTATTTTTATTATTATTATTATTTTTATTATTATTATTATTATTATTATTATTATTATTATTATTAAATTGTAACATTATTATGATATAATATTGACACAATAATGGTAGCAAAATGGCAACAAGCCTAAATATTATGGCAATGACATCATAACATTTATATAGGCATATCATTATAGGCATACAACAGCTTCTGTGAATGAAATTAGCTAATCTGTACAGACCTTTATACAGGCTTTTGGAATGCTCACTGAGATACAAGTGCCTCTGAATAAGAAACTATTATGAATTAGCTTAAATTATTATAATATTGTATTTCAATTAAATTGCCCATTACTCTAAATTTGAAGTCAGAGACGTTGAGTTCATGAAGTTGGTTGTATTAATGTTGAGCTGAAATAATAAACAATGTTGTTATCTTTCCATTCTGTATCGTTACATACAGATTAAATGTCATTAATTTATATGTACCTTGTTGATTTCCTCCAAAAGACTTGCCGCAAGTCTCTAATTTATTGATTTTTCCTAGTACAGTATTAGCAAATTTCGGAGAGTGCCGCCAGCGTAGGTTTAAGTCGAAACTTGTTATGATGTTGAATTTGGATGTGAATTAATCCCAGCAAAAGTATAGTGTGAAACCAGCGGTGGCGCCATAAATTGCCGACGAGGAGTACGTCGGCCCAAACCAAAGGGCCGACGAAGCCTCTGTCGACGGTCTGGAATAATAATCATTCGATAGGGTTCATGTGGAGAGTTTTTCTGGCTTAGTGTGGTCCAAAATGTGCTTTTAGACACACTGTAATATTAATGATTGGCATTCAAAATAATGTTATTTGAATAGGCAAATTATTTTTTTTACATTTTTGATCCAACGACCTATAGGCCTAGTCATTCGTCGGACAACAGGGGGGTCCAGGTCACCCCGACTGGGGGGAAGGCAAATGCCCACCCTGCTCTCCCGATGGTGCTACCGCTGTGTGGAACGCCATGTAAGTAAGTCATGGAACAACATTGGTACCAAAATAGATATCTTATTAATAGTTTACACTGATTAGGATGAAATTATGGACTGGAACCCAGTCTACCAAAAGACATATTGAACACTTTTGCAAATTTGGTTACAGGTTCATGGACAGATTTTAAGAATGAGCTGCATCGAATTATACCAAATATTTATGACACAAAACACTTAGCGAGTAAATGCAGAAAGGTATGGTAAATTTTTATCATTCAGTATCCAATTAGTTTATGATTAACATG